AATATACCCCTCAGTCTTGAAGTCTTACCTTTGTGTTCAGGGTCGTTTAAATAGTTTTCGTTTGACTGAATTCCTATTGTACAGAAATGGTGCATCGTTTACTATTCTGTAGCATTGTGTGTGTGCACATTTAGTATATTTAGAACTGAACCAAATGTCTTCTAACTGCTCCATTTATTTGATTAAGTCCTGCACAATACTTGAAGTTCTTTTCCCCCTGGATCTGAAGTGCTGCAGGAATGACAGAGATCAGTCATTTGTATTTACAAAACTTCCACATTAAGTGGAAGTGTCAGTCGAATAGAATCGGCTCACCTTCAGCTAGTCATTATCCCTTCAGAAATACTCGTGAATGAAAGGCAAGCCGCCTAAACAGGGAGGAGTGAACAATCCTGCCTGTTTCTTGCACGTTAAGCAGGACAAGGCAGGTGCAAGGAGAATTCAGGGCTCACTTGATATTGTGATAATCCCTCAGCTATGCAGGCATGCCCAGACTTTGTCTGTCAAGTTGAAGCATTCCACAACAGAGCAAATCTGATTCAGTTTAGACACAACTTGACCCTTATCACAAAAGCTAATCGGCAGTAATTGGGTGGACTGCCAGCCTTGTTTACCAAAACGTAGTGTAACATGAATATTACTAAGTTTAATCTCGGAGCCAAGTTGCTATCGCCTGACAATGATTAAGTTGTTCACTTTCTCGTATAGTGGCTGTGACCTAATCCAATCCCAACTCTGTTCATATATCTTAAATTGCTAACCGGACTGTTAACAATAGGAAGGGGACGTACAAATAAAACATTGTTTCCTCCCTCTTCATTGGGAACCCCAAAATATAACCCCTTGCTCCGAAATAGATGCATTTGTTGAAATAGATTCAAAAAGTACTTTCTACAAACGACACCGGACCAGACTCGGCTGGTAGTTAGTTACTACCTCTTGTTAAAGTAGGGTTTTCTCTTTGTACATCCGCCATTGTATCTATGCGGCTTTTGTTTGACAGGAAATTGTTACAGCAACATCACAAAACAATCATTTTTACACATGTTAACTTACAGGTTAAAGAAACAATATTTGTCTTTCTTAATCAGCTTTTATCTAAGTTAGTCAATCACATCAGGTTATCATTTTGTCCTCTCTAACTCTTAGTAAGAAAGCAGGGAAAAGTTCTGCTCAAAATGTTGTTGAACTGAGCTTACATATTTGTATCAAGAATGAAATTAGAGCCGAAACTATCTGTCAATTTAATCAGCAGTTTTGATGGATCATTTAAGAAAGTTAGTATTTCAGCACAAACACCGTCACTGCAGACTTTTAGAGTTTTCGGTTGTGAGTTTTTATAGGTGAAATGATTTGTGAGCCCTATATTTCATTGTCTATAGTACGACACTAAAGCCATATTGCTCAGTGGAGCCCTACATTTAAATATCACTTTATTGAGATGTATGATGTGCTTTACAAGAATATCTTGTGAAGCCTCTTCACCCAAAGACTGTTGGAAATGCCCCCAAATATCTCCCACTCCCATTGTCCTGCACAGACAGAGCTGTTGGATTTGTCTCCTGCCCGGGATGACACTGTTTATGGCTGAGAGCACCCGGACCCCCGGCCCACTGGTCAACAGCCGGCTCATGTTACAGGCTCCCTCACTGGCTGGTATTGTCAGGTTACAGTGTGCGTGTGTTTAGCCTTGGAGAGGCTGTGTTGTGATTGGCTCTTGCTCTGCCATGTGAGACAGCGTTGGTTGATGTATACAAGTCATTCTCATGTATCTCTGGGACGTTCTCTCCATGGTTGTACTGGTAGCTGTCTGAGATGCAGCTGAGGGAAAATGCAATCACACAACACCTTTGACTCTTCTCAGACGTGCAGGTGAGTGCAGAACCTGTAGTTGGTTGCTCATGCAATGGTTTCATCGGTTTCTTTATTTTCTCATTTGCAAGCTCTTTGTTTGCACTCAATGCAGCATTGAGCTCTTACCATTTAGACCATCACTTTCAAGAGAACACTGTTAAAATGCAATTTCTCTAAATAACTTGCATGTTTGAAAATTACTTTAAATTTGAACATCAAACTTGGTGTTGGTATTGTTCTGATTGTTTGTTATATTGGGGAAAATACTGATGATCCAGAGCCACACAGTGTATGTGAGTTGTGGTGAACTGGTTTAAGGGTCTGGTCAGGGACTTGGGGGTTAGGGGTGTTTGTTGTTTCTCCAGCTGCTGCTTGACTCACTCCCAGTGATGATGCAGTAACTTTGACCTTATGGCTGGCAGAGGCTCCACCTCTCTGGAAACCTGACCTGTTTGTTGTAGTTTATACAAGTTACAGTTGTTTGGCTTATTGGTTCAGTTTTTGAATGCTCGTGCAAAAGCTGTCGAGCTTTGATTCGGACCATAAGCCACAACAAGTGGCGCTTGGAGACAGACGTTGACTGACTGTATTCAAGAAGCACGGCGGATCATCCTGGGCCTTGGGCCTATAGAGCATGTGCACTTGAGTTGTCCTTAATACCGCCAACGATCCGCTGGTCTCGACTCTCGGCTCAGTCGGATGAATGGACAAGTAAAATAAATCTGGATTTGCATTTGACATCTTTTAGAACATAAGTCGTTTTCAATAGACAGTTGATTTACTTAAAGAATATATCTGCTGATTTACAGCCACCTCTTTCCCAATAGAGTGGCGAAGTCACGCCCACTTGCTTCCGCATCATGGGACCTTATTCCGAAAAAATAATACATTGAAGTCAATGGAGAGAGAAAACTTATCTTTTGATCCCGTTTGAATTGTGCCATGAATTACACATATGTTGTTTGTCAATCTTAAAAAATATTTCATGTCCTGTTAGTAATTTAGCTAGCTGACATTAACGTTCACATTACACTCGTGTTACACTCGTGCTCCTTGTAAAGCCGGTCCCGCATGCTGGCTCTTACGGAACCGACTAACTCCCCTTTTTCGTATGTACAGCTCTCAACATGGGGGATGCTAGTGAATTAATTTCGAATCATGGGACCTTATTCCGAAAAAATAATACATTGAAGTCAATGGAGAGAGTCTCTCCATTGACTTCAATGTATTATTTTTTCGGAATAAGGTCCCATGATTCGAAATTAATTCACTAGCATCCCCCATGTTGAGAGCTGTACATACGAANCCGTTTGATAGACCTATTCTCCAACGGAACAAAGAAACGTGTCGTACTTCTCCTTTCCGGTTGTATGCGTGCACGGTTGTGGCATGACCACCAAAACAGAAATATATGGACACAAGATGTGTGCAATTTAGTTTCCTATCCATGTGAACATGATTTAAAGTGGGGGGGGGGACCTAACCTCCTCTAGGGGGGTATGGGGGCATGCTCCCCCGGGAAGATTTTTTTTTAAATGTTGAAGTTAAAAGCATCAATCTGGTGCACTTTGAGAGCAACATTAAGAGATCTATGGATACATCTCTCAACACCCATATGAAACAGAACTGTAAGGAGATTTATCTTTCTTTATGGATATTTTACAAATCACTCCCCTTTCAAACTGTATTCTTGTTTATTAATAACAACTTTTTTTTACTGCCATATAGTATTATATACCCGTTTACTTTGTTTTCTTATTTTTTTTATAACTATAATGATCATATAAAGATGTGCCTTTACCTCAATGGTTGTAGAAAAAGCTTCTTATATACGTTAGCATAGCTAGCTAACCAGATGCTAATAACAACAAAGTTATTGACTGTATGATCAGTGTGACAGATGGACAGATCGCCACTGGGCTCACAACTAAAGACACAGCCACGCAAAAACTGCGGCATGCTCCTTATCTGAAGTGCCAGAGCCGTGCTCTCCGTCAGAACTGCACCCCTGTCAGACGAGACCATGGACGAGACATATACCACGTGATGACAAGTTAGGCTCGTGTTGTGTTCAAGGACCCTGATCTTGGCCAGGAAAAACAGGCTCTCGCTTGTTTAATTCTTTTGCGGTCTAGATTTCTTTTTTGCGTGTATTTATAAATTACCTCGAGTCGAGGGCCGTATCAAATTGTCTCGCGTGCCGTATACGGCCCGGGGGCCGGAGGTTCCCCACCCCTGTCTTAAAGGGACAGCAATCTCATCTCACTCTGCATGACCCCAATATCATAAAATGTGTGCTCTGGAGAAACACAGAACGGACGATCGTCCTTATTATTATTATGCCGTTTAAACCAATTATTTAAATGTGTTTGTTAAAATTCGGCATCATCGTTGGCACGCTGATAACAATTTTTTTTTTTTTTTTTTAAATGGCACTTCATATCAAAAATGTTGCCGACCCCTGCTCTGGATAATGATTATTAACACTATGTCCAAGGCCCATGAAAATGTTATGTCCAAAAGTACACACACCACAAATTAAAATGTGCTTTTGCTAGAGTAATACAAATGTGTGTAAATGTCAGAAGAATATGACTAAGTGTTCAACTTTTTATGTAATGTGATGTCAAGATGCTAAAAACTTGAACATTTCATAAAATATATGTACCATTTTAATGACATGATAATGATAAGAACTCATTAGCTTTAGGTAAAAATACGATATATAAGTATTTCTCTACGTTGCAAGGATGGAAAGCCTACCCTCTGTGTAACGTAAGACAGAGGCAGATGTGATGCAGGAGCTCACCAGTTAAATATACATGTCTGACACAAGCCTGAAACTGAACGCCTATATCTACATTTAGCTCCATTGTATCCTCATACCGCCATCTTTATTTTAGTAGGGATGAGCACATGTTGAGCATGAGGCAGCAGAGAATCCTTCTACAAAACGACAGAAACTAGTCAGTCTGATAAACACCACGCATGTGCAAAAAACAAAAAGTAGATATAAAACACAAATTGTAAATATAAAGAAAAACAAATGGACATACAACATCTTCAATACATGCACAATTACAATCCAAAGAAAGTGGAAGCTCAAATGGTAAAATATTGTATCAAAAGGGATGGTTTACCTGGGCCATTGCCATTCACGTGCATGGTTTGTGCCATGGCTGCAGCTGTGTGCTTCGTCCCACAACAAGACCTACTGCGGTCATGCAACTGCCATGCATCAAATCCAGATTACCATGCAACCTGCAGACTGGGACAAAACACAGAGGGACACATTTTAATCACATTGTTGGTAAAAGAGTCCCATGCCAACAGGTTAGCAGCAGTTAGAAAAAGCACTTTAGATCAAAGAGCTCTGCAGATATCCGTATCATATGAAATGAAATCACAAGACAATTATACAACATGACAAGAGGCGTGTCAAGCAAAGGCGTGCTTTCAAAACTAAAATGTGTTCTTAAAAGGTGAAATGGCAACGTTAAAGTAACTGACTTGTTGGAAGAACAGCTACAAAATGTAAGACAAGACAACAAAACAGTTTCAAAGTTTGACCAGTGGTGGAAGAAGTACTCACACCTGCAATCTAATTAAAAGTACCAATACAAACATGTTTAGAAGAAACACATTGCTGCTGTAGCTTTTTGCTGTTTTAAGGATCTAGTTTTAAGTCGATTGGACATCTCTTAGCTGTTCACCAATCACAACAGAACCAGCCAGCTAACCAATCAGAGCAGACTGGGCTCTGGTTTCAGACAGAGGGTGCTACAGCAGAGGGAGTATGAGGAAAATAAAGAGCTTTCTGAACATTAAAGCATGGAGACATGTCACAGTCGAGGCACAAACCTGAAAATGATCCAAATAGGGCCCCTTAAATATCTGAGAAATATTGGATAGTTTATTTGGGTAACAACCGTCTCATTCTTCAACAATCTATTTTGTATTAAAGCTTTTAAATGTGATTTTATTTTCTTTGAAAGGTGACTATTAAGTAAAGTATAAAGGAGAATACAATGGAAATACTCAAGTACAGATTTCAGGTACTTGTACTTTCCAGAGGTGCAATGCTTGAGTCAATGTGATTAGTTACTCAACATTCCAAAGCTGCAGACGTTCAAATATTTAATGTTTCGTTACACAAGAACCTTTTCTTTGAGAAAGTTGAAGCCCACTTTAGGGGATCGACGGCGCTGACCTCTGCTTATTCACAGGTGTGTCTGCATCTGACATTTATGAACATAGAGGTCCTGTGTGCACCAGCCCCGCTCGTCATCAATGGATACATTATGAGCAGGAACAAAAGAGCTATTCTCTTATTAATAAAATAAATAAAAGAACCAAAAGTCGACTTCATGGGTCTGGTTTGTCAAATGAGCATCTGGAGGAGTAAATATGCAGACAAAGTCGTCTCAGATAGACCCAGGCTCCCTTTTTATACTCTCTGACCTCAGACTATAATTACCATCTCGGCCCAGTTTATCACTGGCTCTCAAATGGCGCATTTCCATTGCAGGGCCTCGCTCAGCTTAGTACGGTATAGTTAGGCCTTGTTAGGACTGGCTCACTTTATGCTGCGTTTCCATTACAGTTTAGTAGCTGGGGCAGTAACTATAGTAACGCAGTGTAGGCGGAGCTGTGACGTCATCAATGCGAACCACAGAAAACCAACATCAGCCGTTAGCTGTTAGCACTCAGAGCTCACAGCTCCTCATATCTGTTCAGAAACTAGACAAAAGTTAAACAAGTACAAACCACAGACTGTCTGTGTCATGGTGAATGCAGTCGCTGGTTTATGTATGTCTGTAGGCCGTTGTTGAGAGTGTGGACGGTCGGAGCATATACTGCGTTAGCTTAGCCAATCTCCATTCAGAAAACACGCATTTTAAAAAGGTTTTTCGCCTGCCGTCTGTCTGCAGACTTGTCCAAGCATTAATTCATCGGCATCATTTTGAAAAGTGTATTACAATGACATCCCGGTAAAATCTGTTCATTTTTGTTGTAGTTGTAGCCCCCTTGCCAGCGATTCTCTCTAGTTTAGCATATTCAGCCCGACTCAGCCTGGTTGTTGGCCTGCTAAGAAGCTCGATTTTATGGGGCCAGAAAAACTGTGCCGGTACTACACCAAGTGGAAACGCAACCAAAAACGGGCCGCGCACGGCATGGCACGCTTAAACCGTACTGTAGTGGAAATGCGCCAAAAGTGGGATCAAGGCCCACTAGTGGTCTTTAGGAGGGTCCTTGGCAGAATAAGACAGGCTGCAATTTCCAAGTTACAATGTACACCTTCAACCATCAAAATATTCTTTAAATAAAATCCTCAACCAGGCTGACATGTGAATGCAGTCCAATAAAACAGTCTTGCAAAAATAAAATACAACATTCATGACAAACTATAACATTAAAATGTAACTTTAACCTCTTAAAGCTAAGCTGAAAGGTACATCTCCATCAGTAAAGGTCATACTGTATACTGTATTAGTTTAAGTCAGGTGTGGATATTGAACTATCCACTTAGTCTGTATTGAAATATTTCCCTGCATCTAATATAGAAAGACGAGTGTCTGTTTTTGAATAATCCAGGACCCACCAGTAGTCCGCCTCTTATAATTTGGGATTATAATACAAACGTAGGACAAAAATATGATGTAGTCTGAAGCTAGCATTGCTTTGCCCACAATGGTGTACTGGAACAACATTTTTAAATCCCAGTAATAACAGAAATGTTCCATAGACAAACACCATTGCGTGTATGTATTGCAAAACGATCTGAAAGGCACAATTTATCAATAGTCTTTACTGTGAGTAGTTACTTTCAAGGCAAGGTTTCAAAACACAGCCTGGATCTGCATGTTGCAAATCCATGTGTGCGGCGTGCATGTACATAAAGTCTGATTATAGATCTGATACAGAGCTACGAGATACAAATCCACCGTTACAGAGCGCGCCAAACTGTTCCAACAACCAAATAGAATTTAGTCTATAGTCCCTCCTACTTTCTCACACATTTAAAATTAACCTCTGCATTTGACAAATGAATATTTTGTGAAGCTTCTTCAAAGAGTCTAGATGCCTTTATTAGGTTGGACACCATCTTAATGTTGTTGCAGTAAAATATTTGATAACACTATCCTGATATGCAAGACCCTTCTTTACACCATCAACAGAGGAACTCACAACAACAATAATAATAATAAAAAGTGGTGTGCATACAGAGACAGAAGGATGAGACTGGCATGTCACCAACAGGAATTATGCTTCTTCATTCGAAACGGGGACAAATACAAGCGTAAACACACTACATCCCAGTATAAAAGAAACAAGGTGCACGCTGACAGATGAACAATATCCCAGTTTAACAACGCAAGTCAAATATTTCATGCTGACCTTGTGTAGCTTTCAGACAGTAAACTTAAAAATAATTATTCAGCAAGCAACTCAGCCCAACATCAAAGCTCTTTTTCCAACTTCATGCAAAAATATTGAATCAAAAAACACCATTAGACTGACCAAACATCTCCCAAGCGTCCAGTTCCATGGGCTACAAGAAAGTGAACCTGAAGGAAGGAGCAGGAAATACTCAGATACATGTACATCGTGCAGTCAAAGAAAAGGAGAAAAAAAGCTCTTTATCACCAGCAGCATATGACAGAAGAAAACGTATTGTTTTCAACACAGTTTGCAAACATTAGGCTTTTGAGAACGTTTATCCTGTAGAAGAAGTAAAGCTGCTCCATACGTGTGTTCCCATTTCCACCGGGTGTAAATATTGTATTAGTGAAAGCTCAAATGTAGCTTACAGCCTGTTGCAACAACAAGGCGTCATCGTGGCCTGTTGAGCAGAGTAATCCTGCAGGATCCTACATCAGTGTAAAAAGGGTTGGCATTTGGGAACCAGTTTACAATGGTTCAATCAGACTGATAATGTTGAGGGATAAACAAACAGACACTGAGCAACGGTTTATAAAAAGAGAAGTAGTAAGCAGTCATTGGTACAAGAAACTGGAAGCTCCGCATCAAAACGGGTAAAGATTTAAATAGGAAAGGGTTCTGCTTTCAGTGTCAAAGACCATACGAATGACAAATAGGGCTGTAAACTATGAGTTGAAACCGTTTAAACCAAAAGGTGTTCAGTTTAAGATGGCATAAAAAAGGAAAGCAGCCATTTTCGCAAGAGAAACAAATCTTTAAATTGTCTGTTGAACTGTGAACCGTCTTTTGTTATCTTATTGATTTGTCAACTGATCGTAGCAGCTCTACTGATATATACAAGTTTAAATATTTTTAGGCCATTTCCACCTTTGCGATCACATTACCGAAAAAAATCACTTAAAATGTTTACTTCTGGAAAAATACAATTAATAAAATCCACGTTTTATCAGTGTTCTCCCGTTACGCAACACAGTGGCAACATTTTGTTCTACTCTTTGGTGCCTAATGATCTCTAATGTCAATAATAGACAACTTGTGTGATTTATACAGTTAAAATAGCCATTACTGAAGGAAAAAAGACAAACATTAATAAAACAGAAGAGTCCAAACTGTTGTTCAATCCAGTACACCAGCAGCCATGTGGTCACATTTATTTTTTCATCACATGGCAACCACAACACTGCCATTCTGTAAATCATGCAGCTTACCTGTTACTCTCATTCTAACTTCCTCCCACTGCTCGCAGGTAGCAAACACTGACCGAGTCCACAAGAGCCCCCCGACAACGAGCCTATACCCAGCAGCCCTCTGAGCGAGGGGGGGATAAGTTTCACGGCTAAGATTAGACAACTTCCTCAGATGACAGGCAAACGATCTGTGTCCTATAAGAGGAAACAGGACTTTAGGCCGTTTTGGGAAGAACCGACCCCTAGGCTGGGCCTCCAGGTGAAACGCATGGCGAGCTAATGTGGTTAACAACCTGTGGTCACTTTTATAGCCTGCGCTGACCTTCCACTCGTGGATGAAAAACAGCTAATGAGGCAGACAATGGAGCGTAAATGGAAACCTTCTCATGGGTGGTTACATATTAACCAACATGGCAGCCTTTCCCTTCAGCCCTCAGCAGCTAAAGGTGAAGACAGAGTAAACAGGAAGTCAACAAATCTAAACCAAGATCAGCCAAGGAGGCCTTCGAGACAAGCAATGGTGTTTCTAAATAATGCAAGGCATGCAATACTAAGATAGCACATTTAGCTACACAACAGAACAAACTTGATACATATGGGAGTTTAAATAAAACTATTTTAATCTAGGGAAATAAAGGTTAATGAGGGTGATATTAGGCCTGAAAGAGTAGGGAAAAAAATATATTGCGCTTATTTTTGACTGATATTTGCCTTTACGAAGTATTGTAATTACTGCAATTTGGATATTGCACAAGCCATATTGCAATTTTGATTCATAATGTACCCCTACTTATAATCAGACAGTGTGGTGTAACACTATAGAAATACGCAAATATGATACATGTCCATTTAAAAAAAGAAATGGGAGTAAAAAAGTACAGAAGTATTATCAGCTAAATTTATCATTAAGTTGTAACTGGGCCATTATCATTGAAGCAATTACAAGGTATAGCTGATAGACCTTTGTGTGCTTTCGGAAACATAGGCCAATAAAGAACGATACAAAACAGAGTGCTTAAGAGGGATTACATGAATTCAGAACGTTCAGTTTACATAGTGAAGCTTCAAACATTCAAACTGTGGCCATAGGCACACAGGACATCAAGCTGATGAACTGTGGACAAAAGCAAAGCCTTGTAGATGACCAAGTCAGGTGTGGCATCATATGAATCAATAGCTCTGCTTATTTACTGAAGTGTCATGGAAGAAGTGACCTCGTTGCAGATAAAAAGTAGTTGGTTTCAAATTCATTACAGGGCAAATAAAAAAATATTACTTTTACACTAACTCCATGAAGAATAATCCAACTAATCTTTACAAGTTGTTAGATATGGGAAAAAAGGATATAACTCAACATAATGCACTGAGTAGGAACATTAATAAATAGCCTGATATGATCCGTAGGGACTCACGAGTGTAGCAGCAACTACGTTAGCCAACACAAACCTGAAGGACTTGTTTTGTTCCCTCTCAGCTGTTCCATGAATATGACAGGAGCTGCAGGTGCACGTCAACTGATTTACAGTGACTCAGGTCGGGTTCCTCTCCACAGGGAGGTGCGCGTGTTCAACAGAAGACGGGCTGAATTATTTACTGTAATACGAGACGCTCGACATGCAAGACAAACAAAAACAGATCATTACTAAATCAACTAGTCTTTAAGACAGCTGCAAGGATATGAAGTAGATTCATTGATTGCTCAACCGTTGGCAAATCCATTGGCACTTTTCAAGCAAAAACATCCAACATTACGTAGTTTCAGTTTCATTATTTTTGGGATTTCTCAATTTATATGCGATAGTCCAGAATAAAGACATATTCAATTTACTGACAGTTTGGGGGGAGTAAAGGAAAACAAGAAGACATCTTTACCTCCCTGATCAGGATTATTCTATAATTACAAATTATAGTTTAATTGGTTGCAGCTCAACACCGAAGAGCAGTGTCCGATCAGAGACGGAGGGCGAAATTAATAACAAGTAAAGCAAGAAAATTAAATATTAAAAAGTTCCTAATCTTGAACACAAATTGTCCATCCTGAGAGAAAAGATAACTAATTTGAGGGTCTTAACTTGCAAAGAGAAAAATAAATTCCCCCAATGACTGCCAGGATTCAAACTATACTTGCATGTCATTTTTCCTTTAAAATCGCCCAATATGGAAGGGTAAATCAAATACTGTACAGTGTACAACGAGATCCATTAAAGCCCTGTGACTATTTCAAAGTACAATTGGAGTGGAACGAGCAAGAAACAACTTTTTTATTTTCAAAATAATGTAGCATGAAGAACCACACAGGAAATACAAAGGCTTCTCAGAAATCAGGAATCTGGTCAAACTTCAACTTTTACCCACATGTTGGCAAATGTGTAATAGTTGCTGCTTGTGTGGTAAATACTGCATGAAAAAATAAAGTTGTAATCTGGATATTCTGAACAATCTCAAGTCGAATAGGCCTTGCCTCGACACACTGGATGCATCGAGGCCTTTATGTTTGCCATATAAAAAGGGAAAAAGGGACAAACTTAAGTCCTGACAGGATGTGGTGCGACAGTTCACATTTTCCACAGAGGAAAGAAAGCGAAACACAAAGCTTGGGTTTTGTAACTTGTGTGTCAAGAGTAAACAGCCTGAAAAGTTGAGGGCTATAAAAGTTGCAAACCCGCTGTGCTGAATATTCAACGGGCTTGTTTTTCCCCTAATAAAAAGCAGAGGCTACAGAATGGAGGGAAAAAGCCTCCAGAGTGGCATATTTTGATTCAGCTGCATCAAAAATGAGCTCAGTAGCATGAAAACTTTGTGTGTGCTAAAGCATGCACGGAATTGTATCTTTCCACGGATAATCTAGATTGTTGCAGACAGGTGGGTTTTCCCTACTTTTTTTGTAGTGACTAGATGAAACCCAATGCATATGCACTGGTAGATAGAGACACGTGCTAATGTGAACATGTGTGTGTTGGCATAATTGCACAACAAGCAGTGGCCATTTGTCATCTCAGCTCTGCATCTGGCCCTCATTAGGAAATGCCTTTGAAGCTTTGCAGAAGAAGCTGCTGTGTGGACTACGGCCAGACGCCTCAGCGCGGCTGTTCACTACCGCTTTGCTGAGTTTTAGCCGGTGTTGACCCCCAGCTTGTGCTGTCCAACGGTTTGTTTCCCTTTGATGTCGTGCATAAGCCTGCTGAGTTCAGCCGGCCTCAAAGCCTTTCAATTATCCCAGCAAGGAGGGAGGAACTTACAGGAATGAAAAAAGTCAGCTGAAGACTTTAGGAGTCTACAGACAGGAGGGTGCTAAGTTACAAAAACAGAAGAGGAAAATAAAACACTTCCAGCAACATCCAAGTAGTTAAAAGTCAAGACCTCCCATGCTAACATCACAATGCTAACATGCATCTGTTTAGCAGGTAGCATTTGTTTATTAGCACTAAACACAAAGTACAGCTGAGGCTGATGGGAATATCATTAATATTGCAGGTATTTAAATCATTAAGCAAAATACTGGACATATAGATATTTTTGACCTGGTGGAAACACTACTGAAAATGCACCACCAAAGTTATAAAAAAATTAGCATCAGGGGGACATGAATGTCTTAAGCAAATTGCATTAATCCGTGTTGACCTCCTGGTGGCACTACAGAAAAAGTCAGGGATCACCAAAGTCGGTCGGAACCTTCTCTATGGACCATTCATATCTGTACACAATTTGATGACAATCCATTAAATATTCTTTATGTTATTTTAGCTGCAGCTTTAGCGCTATGATGCTAGCATGGCTAACAGTGAAATAATAGATTGAATATCAAATATTGGGACATTATGAAGGAAAATGCCAATGAATTAAGTTGTTTAAATGCCAAGTTAAGCATTGGAGATATGTTAATGTTTCCCCAAATCTCCACCTGAACTTCCATTTGTACTGCAAACAATAGTGTGTTAAAATGTATAGAATAAATTGTAAAAATAAAAGAAACAAGTACTGCACTGTACCTTTAAAAACAGGTTCCACAAGTGGGTAGGCCTATGTAAATTAAAACAAACTACTAAATAACTACCTAGCAAATCAACAGCCGTCACAAAAGTGAACTCTTCAGTCGAGTCGTGTTGCTGTATTATCACACATCCAGTTATTTCTGCTGCCATTACATTCAACTCCTTTCGATTGCTCCTCTGGCACAGAAGCTGCCGTACAGAATGACAAGACAATTATGGAAATCAAAGAAAATTATACATACACCCACTCATCATTATGTTCATTCCTCTAACCTCATTATATCCCTTTTAGGAAAACTGCTACTAAAATGTGTGAGGTCTATGCAGTTAGCCTACCCCTTATTGAACGCAAGAGTAGAGACCACATGTGGAAAAGGTGCCTATCATGCTGCTCCCTTATTTTAGGAATGTGCTTTATCTGGTTCAACCTTTTTATCTGGACAGCTGCTCTCCAGAGGTTCAGCATCCCCTCCTGAGGATTTTGTGCAAAACAAAGAATATGCAGATTTACCAGGATCCACCCCAAAATCTTTCTTCCACAACATTTCAACTCCAAACGCTACAATAAAAGGTTGTGAACAAGATTAATTACCCAAAACCTAGCTGTAAGATTCCATAGTAGATTTGCGCAAGTTAGTTGAAGATGTGGTTATGAATACCCGCATGATTTATTCTTCTGGAAGACGACTTGTGAAATAAAAACCTGGCACTTAAGCTCTGTGCTCCACCTACGATTCATTACTCTCAGATTGCCCACTTCTGCCGGCAGCATTGCCAAGTTCCAAACAGTGTGTCAGTTTGTTATTGGTTCAACTTTGATTTAGCCTTCAGCTTGTTTTATGCAATAAAAATTCATTTGTTTGCGAATAACAAAAGCTGATCTTATTTTTTCATTATCAATCCTAAGAAAACAAACTGTTTTTTATTCCCTCCTGTCTCTCCCTCACTGTTTCCCAAATACCTGACTATAAAGAGAAGAAGAGACACCTTTACCCTCTACTTGGGTATACTGAGGTATATTATTAATCAGCCCTTTCAGCTCAGTGCAGCATGGAAGAGTGGCCCTGCGCAGCTTTAAAAAAAAAAAAAAGGCGTTATCCCCTCGTTTCGGCACACAACCTTTTCCTTTAAAAACTGAGATTTCTTCTTTTCACAACACTGCCTCCTAGAGGAAACACATCCAAGGTCCTGGGAGCATGTTGCACTCAATAATGGCAATGGGATAAACACTGATACAATACAATGTTCCAGATATGTTGTCCACACATTGGCAAGCTTTACTCTATAAAGGAATCA